TCACCGTTTATCTACCTTAATGCAGGATCATCCTGTCCTAAGGGTACTATCTGTATACTAGCTTTCTTACTTAAGTGTCCTTAAGTATCCTTAAGTATCTTATAGTTATTCACTAAAAACAATATTTAAGATACAAGGGTACTATGCACCTAGCTATACGTATCATCTTGTAAGAACCCACCAACTTGCGCATCCCATAGAGTTTTATAGCAGCCATCTTGACTTAATAGCTTAACATGCGAACCATCTTCTACGATTTTTCCTTTATCAAAAACTAAAATACGATCCATATGCATTAAGGTAGATAAACGGTGAGCAATCACAATGGTAGTTTTGCCTTGCATTAGTTTCCATAAGCTTTTCTGTATAGCACTTTCAGTTAAGGAATCTAATTGAGAGGTTGCCTCATCTAAAATTAAAATTGGAGCGTTTTTGAGAGTAGCCCTAGCAATCGCAATACGCTGACGCTGTCCCCCTGATAGTTTAATCCCCCGTTCCCCTACTAGAGAAGCGTAGGTTTGGGGTAATTTAGTTATAAAATCATGGGCATCTGCGCTCTTTGCAGACTGGATTACTTCCTCATCACTTGCATCAATGCGTCCATAACGAATATTTTCCATAACTGTGCGGTGGAATAGTGAAGGATCCTGCGGAATCATAGCGATATTGCTCCGTAAGCTCTCTTGGGTGACTTCTCGAATATCTTGGCCATCTATAAGGATTTGACCATCTGTTACATCATAAAGACGCAAGATCAAATTGACAAAAGTCGATTTACCACTGCCGGAATAACCAACTAAACCAACTTTTTGTCCGGCATTAATAGTTACGGATTTGTTATCGAATAATGCTTCAGCACCTTTATAATGAAACTTGACTGCTGAAAAAATGATTTGACCATTGGCAATTGATAAATTTCTTGCATTCTCTTTATCTTTTATCTCTAGTGGAATAAAAAGCCTAGCAAGGCTCTGCTTACATTTGCCAACAGCTTTATTTAGTTCATCTACTTGCTCCATCGCCCACCATGTCATAAAGCCTACCTCAACGCTTAATCCTAAAATAAGTGCGAAATCACCACTACTTACTACTTGCTTCATTCTTAACTGAATTAAAAAATAGAGCATGAATCCAATCATAATAGAAAGAGACAAGCCCTGCATAAAATGTAATTTTATGGCAAATATTTCTTTTGTTTGAAAGGTCTTTTTTGTTAGAAGTAACGCTTTCTCGAGGTAAGATATTTCATAAATACGACGAGCAAAAATTCGTACATTAGTAGCATTGGTAATACTATCTACTATTTGTCCTGACAACATTGATTCAGAAGTAGCATGAGCTTTTGATAAATTTACGAGAGATTTTGACATTCGTATGCTAAAGAATGCAAATACAAGGAACCATATAAGCATAGCATAAAAAAACTTTGGATGTACATAATACATGTTTAATAAAGCTACTATTAGCAAGACCATCACTCGAATAAGGTGCCTCGCAATATCGTGTACTATACGTTCTATGTTCTCAGCAAGGGTAGTAATTTGACTAGTAATACGGCCTGATAGATTATCTTGAAAGAATTGTTGAGTAGCCTTGTGCACATACCCAAAAGTTTCACTAATGATTTGATTTTTTATCAATGGCTGGATCTTATAATTTATATACCCCATACCGCGCCAGCACAAATTATGTATCTCAAAATTTACTACAAACAATATAGTTGGCCAAAATGTAAAAGATACCATGTTATCGAGTTGCTGCAATGCTAAAGAATCAATCATATGCTTAATAAGTAAGCTATTGAAAGGCCCCCAGAGTCCAGTAATCATAGCAAAACAAGTAAAAATTATGGCAGAATTTTTATAGTCTCGCAAAAAGTGCCATATAAAAGACCATAAATTTTGTGGTAAAGAATTATCCACCTTATTTCCTCCAAGAGATCCATCCTTAGCTATAAAGTAAAAATCGGTTACATACTTGCGCGTTCGTAATATAAAAGAACATTTAAATTGTGTAAAGAAAATTTAATGTTTAAAATAAGGAACAATAATTTTTATGGCTGTTCAGCTGTTGCATTATTTTATTAATATAAGATTAAACCTATTAAAAATTAAGGAATTAGTAAATGAAAGATACCAACGATAAAGAACTACTTATTTCTGAGAAAGAAATATATGAACTTGCTATTACTAATAAACAGCATAATGAGGATAGGCGTGACCAGATCAATACCTATTATATTAGCTTGTTTGCAGGAATTATAGCAATAATACCTTTTATTGATCAGGTAGCAAAGGCAGCGCTATCCAGCTATGAAGGCCATATAGTGAAAGGTTCATTAACTATACTATCCTTAATTGGTCTGATTTTAGCAGTGACTTGGGCTTTAAATTTAAAACGTACCTTGTCATATCTTGAAGAGATAGATGAAATAATAGCTAAATTGGAAAAAAAATATAATCAAGGCTTTATTACTACAATTCAATCTCGCTTAAAGCAGAAAGGGGCGCCAGGACGTATCACTAAATATCAAATAGTTATACCCTATACTTTTATATCTATTTTTTTATGTATAATTATATATTCTATATTATGGATATTTTATGCAAGTAACTGATATTAGGTTCTGTTGCATTTGTTGAGTGAGCGAATAAAGAGAGGTATAAGAAGATAAGAATATAATTGGAAGTTGTTAAGATGCCCTTTCAAATTTCAGCTAAATTAGTAAAATATTTCAAAGGATTTTGTTCGTCACCTGAAATCATCATGTTATTTGTTTACATGAAGTGTAGATTTTCTTTAAGCTATAGAGAATTAGAGGAGATGGCTGGAATTAGAGGAGCATCGATAGATCACGCTACTTTACAAAGATGGGTTATAAGGTTTGTACATCTAATCGATATGCAAGTCAGGAAATACAAGAAGCCAGTTGGTAGAAACTGGAGAATGGATGAAACATATATTCAAGTAAAGGGTAACTGGGTTTATCTGTATAGAGCAGTTGATACTATCGGTAATACCATAGATTTCTGCTTAAGGAAACATAGAGATACTGCAGCGGCTAAAGCATTCTTTCGGAAAGCTTTTAGAGATCACGGTCGTCCTATAAAAGTGAATATTGATAAAAGTTGTAGTAATACCGCTGCTCTTAATAGTATTAATAAAGATTTGCACGAGGAGCAAAAGATTAAGGTTAGTCAGGTGAAATACCTCAATAACATAGTTGAGCAGGATCATCGATTTATCAAGAAGCGAACTAAGCCGATGCTAGGTTTTAAAAGCTTTGCTTCTGCTAAAATTACTATTGCTGGTATTGAAAATATTAGGATGATTCAAAAAAAACAAATTACTAAGGCTAACGATAATTTTGCTACTTTTGAGAATTTTGTAACTTTAATGGCTGCTTAATAGCTAAATCCTCAAATTTGTAAAACTATATAAAACATATATACGCAGATGCGACAAAACCAATCTACTCATTACATAGAAATGCTCACAGAATCTAATTTCAACAATTTAAAGAAATAATATTTCATGCCCAAAACAATAGTACAATTGTCAGAAATTAAGATTATTGGAATTAAATGTCGGACCAATAACCTATCTGAAATGCAGCAATCCACTGCTAAAATCAGCCCTATGATACAACAATACTTTCATAGTACATTAGCAGAAAAAATTACTAATCGCAAAAAGCCAGGCACCACTTATTGTATTTATACTGATTATGAGAATGACTTTACTGGAGATTACACTTATTTTATCGGGGAAGAAGTAACATGTTTTGATAACTTACCCGAGGGCTTTTCTAAAACTATAATACCATCACAGAATTACACAAAGTTTATAACTGGGCCAGGAGTAATGCCTGATGTGTGTGTCCGCATGTGGCAACAAATCTGGGCTATGTCTTCAGAAGACTTAGGAGGGACAAGAGAATATCTAGCGGATTTTGAGCTATATGATGAACGGGCATGCGACCCTAAAAATATAGTATTTGATATTTATATTGGAATTAAAAAATAAATTGCTAACTATGTAGAAACTACTATATTTTTTGTATTAATAAAATATTGTAGCAGGAAAATGATTTGGTCAGCACAAGACTTAAGTAGTTGTTTAGGAGCAGTAATACCCTTTAATATTTCTGGACAGCAAATACAGTTTAATTCTAATGCGGTATCAGAAGGAGATGTGTTTATCGCTCTTAAAGGTAATAGAGATGGGCACGATTATGTGTTAGATGCTATCGCTAAAGGGGCAAATGTAGTAATTATTAGTCGCGAAATACCAGGGGTATCTACTGATAAAGTAATTAAGGTCGCTGATACATTATTAGCTTTGACCAAAATGGCTGAATATAAGCGGCGCAAGTCGAAGGCAACCTTTATCGCTATTACGGGTAGTAGCGGTAAAACAGGGACTAAAGAAGCAATTAAAACTACCTTAAGTCATTTCGGTCCGGTTTTTGCCAGTAGAGGGAATTTTAATAACTATCTAGGAGTACTTATTAATCTTGCTTCTATGCCAGATCATATAGAACACGCTATATTTGAGTTAGGCATGAATCACCTAGGGGAGATTAGAGAACTAACCCAAATGGTAAAACCTAATATAGCAGTGATTACTACGATCTCTGAAGCGCACTTAGAGTTTTTTAACTCTTGTTCAGAGATTACAGATGCTAAGTGCGAAATTTTTGAGGGAATGGCACAAAGTGGGGTAGCTATTATAAATATAGATAATCAATATTATCATCGAGTTTTATATAAGCTACAAAAGTTAGCAATGAGTAATATATTTACTTTTGGCAAATCTGAGGAGGCAGATTCTAGATTAATTCTATACGAAATCAGCAAACTAAATAACATAGCAAGTCCCATACGAAAAGTAATATAATGTAATAGATTTGCTATATGAAATTTTTGGATATAGGGAACTAGTAGATTATATATCATTATAATACCTTAAAAATCTGTAGAATTTTATCAAGTTTAATACCCCTTGAACCTTTTATTAAAATCAATTCATTCCCCCTAAGCAACTCGCTCATATTTTCTACCAGCGTATCTACATTATCAAAATGATATTTTTCTATATACTCAGGAAGTAAATCATATATATGCCTTACATGATCACCTACTAAAAAGATTTTTGTAGCAGCGGAATCAATTATTAAAGGCACCATCGCTTGATGTAATTTAACAGAATTTGCCCCTAATTCTAACATGTCTCCCACTATTGCTGTTTTTTGTTTGCTGATTTCGTTTTTAATAGGACCACGTATTATTAAATTTTTACAAAATCTTCAGAAACATGGTCAACCAATTCGCGATGATGGGCCAGAGACACATAAGTTAAAAGTAGGCACTCCTACTATGGGAGGCATAATGCTTATAATTTCTGTTTGCAGCTCAACTTTATTATTTACCGATCTCACTAATAAATATATATGGGTAGCATTATTTATATTTATTAGTTTTGGAGTAGTAGGATTTATAGATGATTACTCAAAAATTACAAGAAATCACCACCAAGGGGTTAGTGGAAAAAAGAAATTATTATTTCAATCTATTATTTGTGTTATTGCTTGTTTATTATTAAATAGCCTTACTAAGCCAAGTAGTAATATACTTAGTATACCTTTTTTTAAAAATTTGGTTTTTGATTTAGGGCTATTTTACGTACCTTTTTCTATGTTTGTTATAGTAGGAGCCTCCAATGCAGTGAATTTAACTGATGGACTTGATGGGCTTGCCATAGTGCCAATAGCTATTACTGCTGCATCTTTTGCTCTAATTATCTACTTAGTAGGTAATAATTTTTATGCAACTTACTTACAAATTATTTATGTCCCCCATATTTCTGAACTAGCAATTTTTTGTACTGCAATTGTTGGAGCTAGCCTCGGGTTTTTATGGTTTAACGCCCAACCAGCAGAAATATTTATGGGAGATACAGGAAGCTTAAGCTTAGGAGGAGCGCTTGGAGTGATAAGTGTTATTGCTAAACATGAAATTGTATTAGCAATTATAGGGGGCTTGTTTGTAGTTGAAACTCTATCTGTAATAATTCAAGTATATTATTTTCGAACATCTGGAGGTAAAAGAATTTTCAAAATGGCCCCATTGCATCATCACTTTGAAAAAGGAGGGTGGCCTGAGTCAAAGGTGGTAATACGTTTTTGGATTATAGCTATAATATTTGCGTTGATTGGTTTATCTTCTCTAAAATTAAGATAACCTCAATAAACTTATAGTTCGATAAGTTTATTTAAATTTTTAACATAGGCAGCATGCATATATTCTGTAAGAAGCTGATTATTCCCTCCAATTATTACCAACAAATTTTATCAATATTAAAACAAGGA